ACGGACGGACGGACGGACGGACGGACGGACGGACGGACGGACGGACGGACGATCATGCGATTCTACAAGCTGCATCTGACTATGTCAGATGAGCTAACAAACGATAGCGCTAAAGAACAAACAAAAACAAACGATATCGCTAAAGAACAAACAAAAACAAACGATATCGCTAGAGAACGACAAAAAAACAAACGATATCGCCAGAGAACGACAAAAAACAAACGATCTCACTAGAGAACGACAAAAAACAAATGATTTCGCTGAAGAACAAACAAAAACAGTGTGAGTGGCTAATATTAGAAGTGGCCAATAATTTTTCTTAAAAGTAAATAATTGAAAAGTAAAAATATTAAAGAGTTCGGACGCGTATAACTTTACACACTGGTCACATTATATACACATACGTACATTAAAAATTAACAAAATACATATAACATAAAAATATAACTGAGGTCTGTTGCTACGGTTATAAACGTAACATTTAAGTTGTGCGTAGTGACACCTTTGTTAGGCGCAGATATGCAGATATGCAGTTGCGTACACATCATTCCAGCAACCTTCTGCATTCTGCATACCTCCCAAATCCCATTGGTTAATACAAATCGCGTGCCTGAAACTCCTGTTTTATGGTGCAATGTGACCCTAACCCTATTAAAAAAAATATTTGCAGTTAATTGGAAAAAAAATAGTTAAATGGATAAGATAGAAAAATACAGAAAACAGGAAAAATAATAAAAAATCAGATGGGATTCGAGCCAACGACCTTTGAGCCATGACACCTGTGCTGTACGCGTTCGGCTACCCAGGCTTATTGGGTTTCTAGATTATGGATGTGCCATGAATATGACAACACTGTGACGTCATTGAGGCAGTTCAGGAATCCATGTTTAACCCTCTTCTTGAGGGTCAAAAGGTTATCAGACACTTTGCACGTCAGTGGAAAGCACATTTCATGGTCCTTTCAATAAAGTGATAAAAATGGTAGGTCAGCGCTGAAACAAAAAAGGTTTTCACTCTGTCCATTAGGCCATGTTCTGCCCATCACACTATACACCAAATATTAAGAGCATAGGTGTCGAGCCGTTAAGATTTGTGCCGCAATTCCGTATTTCCTCCTATACCTTAAGTTAAGGGGGAAATATTCCCCCTCCGTTTACACCTCTTGACCTTTGACCTTTGACCCCCAGCTTCGACATCCCAACTCGTTTTCAGATTACCCCCCCCACGTCCCGAATATCGTGACCGTACGTCGAGCGGTTAAGATTTGTGCCCAACTGTTGACGGATGGACGGATGGAGAGACGGACGCACGGACGCATGATCATGCGATTCTACAAGCTGCATCTCACTACGTCAGATGAGCTAATAATATGTGTAATAACATGAATCCGATATAAAATATATAAAACAATAATCTAAATCTGAATAATATAATATAAATAATATGTAAATAACATGAATCCGACTGACCGGTTTCGAACTTGTCCGAATTTACGTCGACGCCTATGATGCGTGTCGCTCCCGCAGCCTTGCAACCCATGACGACGGCCAGGCCCACGCCTCCCAACCCCCACACGCCGCACGTAGACCCTGGCTCCACCTGCAGAGAGAAACGGGCGGCGACGACCGCTTATATCGCATTTATCTTGGGGAAGAAAATGTACGAAAAAATGTTGCGAAACACTTTTTGCGCACTTTTTTTCGTGCGCATTTTTATCTCTCAGAATTTCATCCGCCGACGAATGCTTTCCTTTCGATTATAGCGCGTGAAAATATTCAAAAAACGTTAAAACTTTCGATTACGCGAACGAAACACAGCAGACGTTTTAAACGATCGGCCACGATCGCCGGCGCACGAATTTCCCTACCTCCGCACGCAAGTCAACGATAAACGATTATCACGCGAACGATCACGATATTTATTAATTACGCAAAGTTAACTATAAACGATTATAATTAACGAGGAGAACGATTAACGAAGCAGAGAAGTCGCGACGGGCGATCGCGTCGCCGCGCCGTTCGGACCTTGGCGGTGTTGATGGCAGCACCGTAGCCAGTCGTGATGCCACAGCCGAGAAGGCAGACCTTGTCCATCGGAGCTTTGTCGTTGATCTGCCGCCAGAACGAAAACAAATACTTGTAATCGAATTGTCAACCGAATATACTCCCGAATCATTCCCCGCACTGCTAAAATCAAAGGTTGGATTCCAACTTATAAATGTGAGTGTGACAGAGACAGAGACTGAGAGAGAGAGAAAGAGAGAGAAAGAGAGAGAGAGAGAGAGAGAGAGAGAGAGAGAGAAGAGAGAGACGAGCGAGAGAAGAGCGCGCGAAGAGAGATGAGAGAGAGAGAGAGAGAGAGAGAGAGAGAGAGAGAGAGAGAGAGAGAGAGAGTACGAGTATGAGAGAGAGAGAGAGGAGGGGAGAGAGAGAAGAGAGAGTAGAGGGAAGAGAGAGAGAGAGAGCAGAGAGAGAGAGAGCAGAGAGAGAGAGAGAGAGAGGAGAAGAGAGAGAGAGAAGAAGAGAGAGGATGAGCGCGAATGAGAGGGGGATGAGAGGGAAGAGAGAGAGAGAGAGAAAGGAAGAGAGACAGTAGGAGAAAAGAATGAGAGAGACGACGATCTAGAAAGACGAGCAAAAAACACGGTTGGGCAATGATGTTCCGTTCGGGCGCGGGCCGTTTTTTATAATA